TTGAACTCTTCATCCCTAGCCAGTTCTCTTGACCCTTTGGAGGATTATTGCTCTAGGGATTCTGTTGGAACAGTAATACAGTTTCCCCAGAAAGCAATCCTGTAAATTCCATGCCTCCTTGGGAAAACATGAGTAGAGACCTTTCCCCTTTGAACCTTTACAATATTGCTGGGTACTCTACAGGACTGGCTTGCACTGCCCAATGGAATCAAAAAGGACAAGCTCATGGTGGGCAAACCATGTATCACTGAATATTTATTCTCTCTTATGGGATAAACATCACCATGATAATATTTTGCACTTATATATCCTAGCAAACTGACTTTTGTGACTATCATCCTGAGGCATCCTCTCTCTCTATTTATTGTATGGGGACTAAATTCAGGCTTTGTGAATCCCAGTCATTTTCTAGGTGCTTAAAGTTAGGTGTGGTGACGCTCAGCGTCACCTCACCTAAATTCCTTTGTGAATCTAGCCCTCAGCCTCTCTGGGCCTCATGTCCCCGTCTATAAAATGGGGATGATAGCACTGACCAACTTACAGCGGGGTTGTGGGGATAAATATATTACAGCTTGTGAAGCGTTCAGATACCCTGATAATGGGGACCAAATAAGTACCAGCGCAAAAGGTAATGTTAAAAAATCAAAAGGGCTGCATCCACAGCTTGTGTAAAATGGTGTCAGTGACGCTATATTGATTTTCACCAGCTGAGGATCAATAAAGCATAAGTTAAAAATGTAAAGAAAGAGCCCAAGATGATATAAGATCATGGGGCGAGGGATAGCTCAGTGGTTTGAGCATTGGCCTGCTAAACCCAGGGTTGTGAGTTCAATCCTTAAGGGGGCCATTTAGGAATCTGGGGTAAAAATTGGGGGATTGGCCCTGCTTTGAGCAGGGGGTTGGACTAGATGACCTCCTGAGGTCCCTTCCAACCCTGATATTCTATGGGTAAATAGGGACAGCCATGACAGATCAGACCAGGCCTCCTCCAGTGTGATATCCTTTCTCTGGCAGTGACCAGTTCTAGATGCTTCAGAGGAAGGTGGAAAAAAACTTGTAGTGGACATTCATGGAACAACCTACCCCTAGGAGAAGGGTTTTTTTTCCCCCTAACTCCTGTCAGTTAGTGCTGGACTTATGGCCTGACATTGAACTTACACCACCTCAGGAACTCAAGGGTTAAACACAATCGGAGCAGAGAGAGGACTTATTTTTAATGTCTAATAATTTGGTTCCACTTAGGGGGACACCATGTCAATAAAATATGTAAATCCAGAATGTCAGGATTCTGTAGGATTTAAGATTGAAAGAAAGAACCTGTCATCTTCCCCCCGCCCTTCTTCGCTGCATTCCATTCTATTACAATATTAATTAGGATGACAGGTGAAATGGACTGAATCTATTTGAATTACTATATCGTGTACAGCCCTTGCCACCACTCCATCTGATATTTCATAGACATTGTCAAAAGTATTCTTAGCACTGACAATCTCCATGGGAAAGAGGACAAATCTCAAATAACCCTGTCAATTTTCCTTTCTCTTACACTGAGGGTTTTTTTTTTCCCCTTTTTTACTTTTAACTAGTTAAAATGTAGCCTGGTGTATGGCTGGGTGATATATGGTAGAACTTGTGTGAAAGTCCAGCTGTGCTTGGAAACCTGGGATGAAGACATCAATGCTATAAAATACACTGTAACTGTCACCAGGTGTCAGGACCCTTACGGGAGGTACAGAGCTATTCTGGTGACTGCCCTGGATGCCAGAGCTGATGGGTCTCATTAGCTCCAACTCAGGAGCATGAAAGGCTGTGTCTCTCTCTGGGGAAGGGTGAACTAGAAGGAAGGACAGGCTATCCAGCTGGGAAAAGCCCGTGTGTGTTTGTAAGTGCAGTCCCGGATTAGAGCCCTGTTACTTGTGTTAAAATAAAAGGCGGATATAATGTATACCTTCTTCTGGCCCCTTCAGCATGTAAATCACAGCGGTTTAGATTCTGCTAGACTTTTTTGGACTCAGATTCCCTTCGGGCCAAAGAATGCCATCAACTTTTAAGGTTTCAGAGGAACAGCCGTGTTAGTCTGTATTCGCAAAAAGAAAAGGAGTACTTGTGGCACCTTAGAGACTAACCAATTTATTTGAGCATGAGCTTTCGTGAGCTACAGCTCATTTCATCAGATGTTTCCACGGTAAACATCTGATGAAGTGGGCTGTAGCTCACGAAAGCTCATGCTCAAATAAATTGGTTAGTCTCTAAGGTGCCACAAGTACTCCTTAACTTTTAAGGTGTATTCCGCATTGATTTCGATAGGAATTCTACTCAAAAATCCATGGTGTGATCTGTCCCCTGGATTCACAACTATTAATACACATGTAACTTAAGACCCCCTACACATCACTTCTGAATCTGGCCCGACGAGCCTAAAGGAGACTTTGGAACTGGAACCATAGGTGCCGACTCCATGGGTGGTGTGGGGCTGGAGCACCCACGGAAAAAAAATAGTGGGTGCTCAGCTCCCACCAGCCACAGCTGTTCAGTGGGACCCACTGATCAGCTGTAGGGCAGGGCCCTGCCTGAACAGCTGATGGGTGGGGCTGCCAATCAGCTGTTTGGCAGCTGGGGGAGGAGTTTGGGGGGTGGTGAGCAGCAAGTGATGGGCAGGTGGGTGCCTTGGGGAAGGGGCGAAGTGGGGGCAGGGCCTTGGGGGAGGGGCGGAGTGGGGGTGGAGCACTCCCAGGGAAATATAAAAGTCAGAGCCTATGACTGGAACAATTCACATGACATAGATGGTCTGGAGGAAGGTGAAACTGATGCCACTCTAAACTCCCCTGTCTCACTTGAGGCTCCCTTCTGAATTTGGCCCATTCCACCCATCAGGGATGGACAAGACAAAGGCATCACTGGCTATACCCCATTTCCCAGGCCACGCCTCCTGAAATAGGGGCCAGGAGATACCAGAGTTGCAGTCTGCTGGGTGAAGATTCTACCACACTGGAGGAATCCGTAGGCAGCTGGGGGCACCATCCTTGCAGCTATTTGAGCACCAGCATGGAGCACAAGGACCTGGGGGGAGCCCAGGATCTTGTGCACAGATCTAAATGAGAATGGCACAAGGTGCTGGGCAATGAGGGATTCAAATCAGAAAACAAAATGTTGCTGTCTATTGCTACCCCTCCCCCCATGAAACCTTATCGAAAAGATGTAGAACCCGCTCATCAGTACTGACAACAAGCATTTCTGCTCTTATCTTCCCAAGCCAATGTATACATGGGTATCACTTAGTATGATATCTCTTTCATAAATAATCTCATTTTAATGTGCATGCCACAGTTTTAATAAACTGGAGTTCAAGGGATGAGCAATTATACAAATCCTTCATTTCACACATGAAAAGCGTGATTTTTAAAGCTGTCAGCAAAAAGCGGAGTTCTTTTGAGGCACTTCTCCATGCAATTACCTAATGTCTGCTGTGGGCCAGATCCTCAGCTGGGGTCGTTCTGCATAGTTCCCTTGGTTTCAATGGCATTATGCAGATTTACACCAGCTGAGGATCTTACTCCAATTTTATTCTAACAAATGAGGCTGGAGTTTATCTGCAGCTGAAATTAATACAACCACCTCTTACATCCTGCTTTTGCCCGATCAGCTGGGACTTTTGACTGCCTAACTATTTTGTTTGCCCTTTCTTTTTAAGCCTTACAGGGACCGAGGGAAAGAAATCTTGCCTTGAAAGATAATATGGGCCTGATTCTCCATTGCTCCATTTACACCAGTGCACAATCAGTGGAAAATGCTTCCAATGCAAAGTCACTTTGAATTGGTGTATAGGTCTAGGTAAGCTGTCAGGGCATGGGCAGCCTATCTAGCGGGTGGACCATGCCTTGCCTTGTGGTTGTGTGACAGTTCAGGTAATGACAAGGATAGGTCCAGGAGTCAGGCACCAGTCCAAGGGTAGAGCCGGGGTCAGGATCTAGGGGCCATGTAGAAGGTCAGAAGCCAAGCCTAAGCTGAAGGGTGAGCTGGAGTCATAGTCAGGGATATAGCCTAGAGACAGGGGTGAAACCAGAAATGGGCATGTACAGGCTGGGGCTGGCACAGGAGGCAGACATGAGACCAGTGTAAGTGCAGCTGCAGGAATGGTACATATTGAGCAGCCACACGGCTGGCTGCCCTGCCCAAGCAGGAAGTGCCACCCTTTGGAGGGGGCTCATCGGGTCCAGCTGAGTTGCCTGGCCTGGGAGCCAGATTTGCCCCAACAGTCTACACAAGATGCCGTGCAGTGGAACACTAGGCTCAGTGTGTCAACAGGAATGTACGTCAATGGATGAGTCATTTCTTGCCCACCCAAAGAACCCACTGACGACCCAGAATGTCAATCCCATGTTTATTATCAAATTAGCAGTCAAGGGTGAATTTCTCTCCAGTGCATGAGATACAATACACCACCTAAGCCACATGAAGGGCTTAAATAGGTTTAAGTGGTGAGTTGGCTTAGTATCCTTAAGATTAGTGCTGTGGAATTCATTTCATTACAATTCACAGAACACTTGGAGATCCTCCAATGACAGGTGATGGTATAAGTGCAAAAGCATCACACATTTTACTGTCTTGAGTTCCCCTGGGGGATTGACAGCTATGTGCATTTACCCGCTTTGCCATTGTTTGTGAAATTTCCATCCATTTGGGGATGAATTTTTCAAACCAGCCCTGACTGCAGTTGTTTTATTTGTAATGATGATACTCCTTTGTTGTTTCAATTGAACAACATGTGTACATCCCTCAAAGGTTTTACTTCCGCTGAGATAAACACTTGGGAAAACAATACCAGTTCCTGCTCTCGAGTATAGGTGGGGAGGTCTATAATTGCTACTATAAGCAATTCCCTGTGCATCAAAAGAGACTGTTCAGCATAACCCTTAGTTAAAAAGTAAATTGGTTAAATGGTTCCATTCACATTATTTCCCTGTAATAACTGAAGGACATAAATCCACACCACGTCGAGGTCAAGCATAGGAGTTTATTACGTACAGCGCTGACAGAGTGTCACCTTGCTTATTAGGCTCAGAGACACTGTCAATTAATTGATTACAATGGAATATATGGATTTTCCATGGGCGGGGAAAGTGACAGGGTAGGCAGTCCCACACCCCCGGATAGGTCTAGCTGCAAGACATGATAGCACAGTAGCCAATGGTCAAAAGGTTACATAATGTCTCTCCCCATGGTCTCAATGTTAACAAATTAACATTTAGCATTTAATTAATACATTTATTAAAGTATTAGTATAGAATATATGTTGAATTCAATTTGGGATCCATAGGAATGAAGTAGCTCCTTTGACTGCCCAACAGATACATATCTAGGGGTAAAAGCAAAGAAGCAGTGAAAGTATATGGCAGTAAAGATTGTTTTTCAGGTTGCTTATTTGTGCTTTAAGGCAGGCATTGGTTCCTGGGAAAGGGAGGAGGCCATATCTTATACTGACATGTTCCAACCTTTTCATAAAATCAAGGTTGGATGTGTGGGAAGAACAACACAACAGAAACAGGGCTTCTTTGTTCTATTTGCAACTTTGAATAAAGACACAATTATTGCCCCCAACATCTGGCATTTTGCTGACTAAACATAACCTTGTTTTGTTAGGTATCTTTGGTTATTCTGCTTTCTCTTAGCTAATCACTATTTGCTAGGCTTCTGACCTTTTGACCAAACTCTGGACTTTAGGCCTGTACACAAATCCAAATACCAGGTTATTACATCAGCAATGGATTTTAACCCCTCAGTCCCTCCTCTTAACCCTAGGGTTCCCTAACCCGCCAGGTTAAAATATACCAATTTCAATGTACCCAGTCTATTTCGGAGTCACCAGTAAAGCACCAATACCATCAGGAATGTCAATATAGACACTCCCCACATAACTTGACAAAACAGCACCCAGATCCATCCCCAGGGGACCTTATTACCTGAGATGGCATCGCCCATGATCATCGCTTTAACTTCCACTGCCTGGTTCCACGCCTTTGAGTACTTCACATTGGCCTGGTCCACGGTTTCCCCTATCAGGGTGTACATCAGATGGCCTTCCCCAATATGCCTCTGGGCCTCAGCCACCAACTCCTTGATCTTCGCCTGCAGAGCCTGTAGACCCTCCTCTAGATACTTACTGCCATAGTGCCATTCCGGATCCCATGTTAAGTTACCCATCATTGGCGGAGTACGGTGGAGCCACGTCCCGTCAACAGTCAGGGTGCCCTTCGGGGAACCGTCATGCACACGGATGGATGCCTCGAGGGGCCGGGCTTTCCATTTAGCTCTATGGAGTGGTTCTGGGCAGCCACACACCAGTACGTACCGTTCATTTGGACCAGCTCCATGTGCGCCAATTTCTCAGTGATGGCCACTTCGAACCTAGACAGATTCGTTAGAATATTTTATGGGCATGTACACAGAATTTCCTTATCAAAGTGGGTGCAACATTCACTAGGATACAATGCTCTCCCAGCAACCTCGGAGTATGCAACGCTTTCTATCTTAATAACATGACCCCTCCTCCATACTGGCAGCAGGTCACCATCCTGGCTCTCTGTAAATGAGGGATACCCAGAGGTACCAAAAGGTTAAAGAGTATACTGTGACCTGTCCAAACTGGTCTTTGAACTCTCATTGATTCTCTGTTTCCCCATGCCCACAGAGTGGTACTGGGGAGATAGGGTTCCACTACCTCCATAAGGGCTGGGTGGACCCAGCCATCAAGGAGATCAGTTACAATTCCCTGTGTGGTGGTGGCCAAAGTTTGTCCTGCTCTCCAACAACTCTCCTCCAGTGCCTTCATTTTAGTACCATTTATTAGCAGGCTGGTGACTTCTTGACCCAGGTATTTTGTTATATCTAATGAGGTGGATACAGAGATGGACAGATCCTTCAAGTTGTCTAGGATCAATCGGCTGGCCCTATTAGAATCCAATCCTCCCCGGGCATTAGAGATTACAGTATCTGCCGGCCTTGATTCATGTCGGTCCCTCCTCTCAGCTTGGCGTGCTGTAGTATAGGTGTTGCCAACAGAATTACCTGCACGAAACCATCCTGCAAGGGTATCTAGTAATCCCCTCTTCTGTCTGGTTAAGCACTCACCAATTTGGTTTGTTAAGCTAGTGACATTTCTACTCATTCGAGGCCTGACCTTTGCACACTGCCTGTTCACTTCCTCTAATGGAATACGTACCTCGACCCTGTAAGTGTCACCTCATCACAGCTCACCCTATAATGCTTCCCCCTTCCTTTTATTTATTTTTTTAAAAGTTAAAGTTGCTACTGTAGAGACAATTTTTATAAAAAATGTTCCTGGGAAAGGAGAAAAATACAGGAACTCTCTCACTGCTGCAAAGAAACAATATTTCAAATTATGCAAAATGATTAGAAACCAGTGCTCCATTAAAGGAAATTACATCTCAATGCTGTGATTTGCAGGGTAGGAGAGACTGATGGGGAATTACACAAAGAGAGAAACAATACCTGAGTCTCTCACTGGTTTTAATTTGAATGCAGCTTTGTTTCTGAGGGGTTTTTATTCTTACATGGTTCCAGGTAGTCTAAGCAGGAGTTGGGTTGTCTGTGGGGAAGGAACCTGGGATTTCTGAATCAATAAAGCATGATCTGAAAGGCTAAGTCTACTAATCTGGAGGCAGTAGCAGACTCAAACCCCTATACATTTGGTCCAGACACTAGAAAGGGACAGAGCCACACTGTGAGTGGGGTTACTTGTCAATTATTTAGGAATATTTGGTTTTGATAGGCACAGTCTTCCATAATGGGTGATGTAAAGACATCCCAATCATTGGGGAGATCTATTTATCTAATCTATTCGATTCTCATTCACTTCAATGGGCTTTAGATCAGGCTCTTATATGGCCCTTATCACTGTAGTAAGTGGGTGTCCCAGGTACTAGGATACTTGTGGTGTGAGGATTGGGGAACTGTTTCTTTAACTCTGTAGCAAGAAGCCTGAGATGAGGAGGGCTTGTAGGGTTCTGGACAGAAGTTCTACCGTGAAGCAGAGAGAAACAGTAGCATTAGGAATTACTCTGTTGTCCTCAGTCTAATAAAGTTCCTTACTCAGCGTGAAAAGAAAGCAAGTCTCTCTGTGATTCTGTGCCACTGTCACTTGACAGGTGATAGTGGAGGAACACTGGTTTTGTCTCGCTGTTGCATATGAGGCTCAAAAAGGGAATGGGGTGGGATGTGAGTAAATACCAGAAGACAGTTTACATGAGGTGCGAAAATGAAGACTTACCCCAGAGAAGATAGATACAATCTGGCCTTAGCATGGCAGATGTGCCCAAGTCCAGGTTCCAACGCCTATGTCCTCAAAGTGTGGGTTCTTTGGATCTGGTTTGGCCAGTCTTGAATAGCCATGGAGATGACAGTATTGCCAGTTCCAAATACACAATCATCATGAGTCAGGCCCCCAAAATCATGAGAAAGGCTAAAAAAAAAATCACGAGTTTAAAAAAAACAACCTAATAATTCATTTTGCTTTCTTTTTAATTGTCTCCTGGTTTCTGAGCCTTTGGATTACACTCAGGTCACATTTTCAAGCTTTTGTCCAAACTGTGAGAGCTAGTAACAGAAAAAGAAAGACAGAAAGACAGAAAACTGACGTTCCGGGAATTGGGGATTTAAAGTAAAATATCAACTACTGTGAAACTCATAATAAAGTCATGAGATTTGACAACACCGAGATCAGAATAATCAGATCACGCATCATTTTTATGCCTCTAGATCTTCTGAGTGACTGGCTCCAAAGCTTGACATACCTGGGTTTGATTTCTTCCCTGTTAGCCTCAGCATTGTCTCTGAGACCAGTAACAAGTGGCTGCCCTGTATGCAGTTCTATGCTATCAGTTACTCTATATGGCAAAGACACCTTTACCTGTGTCTTCTGGCTCCAGCCTTACCCCCATGCTCAGTTTCAGGGCATCAGCACAATACTGTCTTTTGACTGAGAAGATAAAGATGGAACGAGAAACCCCATGAGAGAGGTAACAGTTCAGGCTGCTTGATAAATCAAGGAGAGGCTGGACTGCAGGCCTTTCTTGCCCTCCCAGGCACATAGATAATGGCTTTGGTCTCTAACACTGTCAACTCTCTTTCACCTCCTCCCACTATCTCCTTAACTGTTCTGTTTATTGATGGTTGTGCTAAAATAGATATACTCCTGTTTTGGAAGTGTGGGGATGGCTGGACAACAACTAAAATCAGTACCAAGTGGCAGGTTTATTTTCGAGCCTTGGACAAAGTTTGTCCATTGTGCTGAGGCCATTTGAGCCATAAATGAATGCCAAAATTTATAGGTGCATCTTGAGAATTTAACCAGGGAAGATAAAGGGGACCTTTGCCTTATGCAAAGCAATTGTGCCCTCTGGGCAGGGTTGCCAACCTTCTGGGATTGTCCTGGAATCTCCAGGAATTAAAGATTAATCTTCATCACGTGATAACACGTCCAGGAATACTTCCAACCAAAATTGACAACCATACTTCTGGGTAATGGTAAGATAATTAACAACTCCAAGCTGCATGGATCTTATGTTTTAACAATTGCATTTACAGCCCTAATCAGACAAGGGAAAATGTGTCCCAGAGGCTGACAAAGAGGCAGAGAAAATGTCTTCCCTGGGGTATGTTCTGGCAAGGTAGTGATAATCTCCATACTTTCTGATGTGGCAGCACAGTGCCTCGTTTGTTTCTTTGCCATTGCTGCCTGTAGTTGCCATGGACCAGCCTAACGGAGTGGACTAGACTGTGCAGCCCTTACACCTATGTGCACTTACACCACTAGCTTCACTGCAGTTAACAGTGAGGACGGTCTCATCCAAGGAGTTTCAATGATGTCAGTGGGGCTCGTTGAGTGAGTGAGTGCCAGGATTGCACGGTTCAATGCACCATGCTGTCTGCCAGCAAACCAGGGTCAGCAGCAAGACTGGCTCATGCCTGGACAGTACCCAAAATTAGCTGGTCGGTTTCAAGTCACTTCCTGTGGGCAGGTTTTCTTATCACAAAAGCCTTCATCAGAACTGGCACTAACTGGTGGTCCCAGCAGACAAGCCAAGGACTGAACAATCCTTTCACTTTCAGAGAAGGTCCAGGGTGAAGAGCATTGGTCGGACAGCATAGGAGAAGCTTGCCCTGCCATTGCCTAGACTGCTGATGTTCTATAGATAAACAGAAGAGCCACAATGACAAAAAGCCAAGACTCAACATGATTGAAAAATTGAAAAAAAAAGTGAGCTGTAGCTCACGAAAGCTCATGCTCAAATAAATTGGTTAGTCTCTAAGGTGCCACAAGTACTCCTTTTCTTTTTGCAAAGACAGACTAACACGGCTGTTACTCTGAAACCTGTCAAAAATGTTCAGTTGTTTTCATTTTGTGGGATTAAACATGGTCCCTGTAACTGGGCACAGACTCACCAGTGGCACCTCCTGCTGGTCGTCTCAGGGAATTAGCTCACCAGCCTCCAGAGCACCCTCTTCAGGCCAGTATCTCACCTTGCTGCTTGCCCCTGTGTCCCTCCCAGGACCCCACAGTTCTGGCTCTCCCCCTCCCAGGGGAACCCCCACCCACTATCCCTACCTTGATTCAGTCATAGGCTCCTGCCAGTCACCAGCTAACCCCCACGCCCTGGGGCAGACTGCAGTATGAGCCACTCATCACAGGCAAGGTTGGGTTTGGACCTGCTGCCTCAATCTAACCTTGGGCTGTCCCCTGCAACCTCAGTACCTGTTGGGCCTAATGCTAGGCCGCAGCCTGGGGCTTTCCTAGCTAGAGCTCCCCAGCCCTGCTCCAATCTAGGTACTCTGCTTGGGTCCCTACAGCCAGGTCCTTCTCTCTCAGAAGCTAGAGAGAATCTTTGTTCTGCTCCTGGCTTCCCTGGCTTTTATAAGGCCCACTGGGTCTGTTTGGGGCATGGCCCCCAGCTGCGGCTGCTCTGCCAATCAGCCCAGCTCTTCCCCTGCCCCAGCCCTCTCCCAGGGCTATTTTAAACCTCTGTGGGCCTGAGTGGGTGTCTATCCTGCTTCAGTCCCTTTTTTTGTGTTATTTTGAGGAAGTTTTCCATTGACATTTTTATCCAAAATGATATTGAAAGGTTTCATTCACTACCCAAACCTGCTTTTGGGCAACTGCAACTTTCCAGTGACATTTTTGCTCAAAATGTCCATGAAAAAATGTCACAAAGCTTTTCACCAAGCAATAAACATTTAAAAAAAACCAACAGTTTTTCACAAAATATTCCTTTTTGAAAAAAGGTCAAAAAATGTTTTTAAAATTTCAACCAGTTCCAGTTCAGACAAAGAGCTTACACAGACCCTGTGGGAACCTAGTAGCTCCTACTCCAGTAGTCTACAACAGTAGCCTTCTAAGATTTGCTAACTACAGGGAGGGGTAGAAAATATGATGGTGAAGTAAGGCCTGATTTTCATTCCATCCTGCCAAGATCACTTGTGCATTGTTGTAGTTGAGGGCAAATGCATGGTGAGAGGCAGTCCCTGAGGCAACAAGTAGATAATGGGTATGAGAAAGGGGTAGAGCACACAAGCAGAAGGTGAGAAACTGAGGCAGAGAGAGGTTAAGAGACTTGCCCAAAATCCTATGATCAATCTGTGGCAGAGTCAGGAATTGAATCCAGGTGTCCTGAGATCCTGTCCAGTAACTGAACCACAGTGATAAACCAAACACATTTCTACTTTAGGGCTTAATTCTGATCTCACTGGCACCAATTTAGGATTCCACTAGTGTTGCTCACCGCTTACACCAGAGAAACTAAAAGTAGAATCAGCATCTTAACGTTTAGCTGTTTCTGCCCCATGTCTATCATTTCTCAGGCATGAGGGTGGAATTCCAAGCTGTTTGGAGTTTGGTGCAGTTTGGATACCTGTCCAACTGGTTAAATGGATCGATGTAAATCAGCAATTCACCCTCTGAGCATTGACTTCAATGGAGCTTTGCTGATTTACCCCAGCTGTTTGCAAAATTGGGCTGGGACTCTCACAGCAGCCTCTCTTGTTCCTTTTGGCAATTCCAGGTAGAGTTTAGGCCAAAACCAGGTTGGGGGAAGTTATGTGGATATCGTGCAACATCCAAAGTTCCTCTTCCAGATTAACAGAAACACTGAAAAGAGGAGGGGAGAAATGAAATCCTACTGAGGGTTCCGTGACTAGGTTGCTACTGTCACTCCTTCCACTCAACACTGATGGGGGCTGTGATGAATCATTACATTTTTACGCTTCTCCATTGCTATAGAATGGATGGGTCACACCTTGCAACTACATGTTTTAACTGAGCCCTCCAGAAAAAGCCCTCCATTTTATGGCTAGGTAAATGAAGACACAGAGGTGTAGCGCAAGTTGCCCAAGTTTACACAGCAAGTTGGTGGCGCAGCCAAAAACAGAACCAAGGAATCCTCAGTTGTAGCTTTTACCACTAGACGCTACTCCTCTCCTCTGACCTTGCAAAAGAGCAGCTGGCATTGCTGTAAATTACCATTCTCAGAGGCTAATTTATAATAAGGCAGTTAATGCATGTTATTTAAATAGTGTGTATTAAAAACATGTTGGAGGCTTTCTATGCAATAGGTAATTATCTACTACAGAACTGTTAGTACAATACAGTGTATTCTTGTCCTCAGTGATCAGCTGGTATTTGTTCAACCTCTAATAGCATTCTTATTAAATCTAAATTAAATGCATCACAAATTTACAAGGGAAAACAGAAAGTGCTGCTATGATTTAAACTGTGTTAAGTTCTATGCCATTTAGACCTTCTTGCCTTGCTAATAAATTCATTTAAGTCAGTGGGCATCTCCCAACTTGTTTCAGAGGGTCTTTGGATCAGGCCTGATGCAGCTGTTGTCCCGTTTTCATCCCGGACATGTTTAAAATACCTTGCAACAGGCCAGCATGCCATATTTGAACCCAATGGGTGGAGTGATCAGACTTGTTAGATGCTCCTGTTTCAGAACTTTTGCACTGTAAGTGCAGGTGAATTTTTTTTTAAAAATTAAGCAGAGATTGATACCTGAATGCAAGAAAAAACTATATGGTCAGGGCTCGGTTGTGCCTCCTCTGAGGCTGAACCGGGGAGATGCCCAGAAGAGATGACCAGTGGGACAAGAAGTACTGTGTCTTGGAAGGTGTGTCATCACTGCAGCCGTAATTCAAGTGAGCCACATGTGAGTTACTTCTCTTGTGTAGCCTAGCAAAAGTGTTCAGGTAGTTGAAAGCAGCTATCAAATCCCCCGTCATTCTCAATTCCATGCACTCATCATTCATTCTTTTACTTAACAACACAATCTATGACTCTTGATTAATTTAACAAGTTTTATCCCACTGTCTATTTTTCCCTCTTTGGATACCAAGATTTACACAGGCATGACAAGGGGCCCCCGCGGGGGAAGAGCATCAGGGTGTTGTTTTAAAGAACAGCATTGT